CACTGAATGCAAAGGTAGGAGTGGGCCATAAAGAATTGTCCATCAAAAATTTTCACCATACTGATACATGTATTGTGACATGGTACATTTTCTGGAAATTCAACTGATTAACAGTTTATAGAACTAATCATATGGGATTCTTTGATTCTTCCCCAGTGTATTAAATATTTGATAAATCAAGTTAAAATCCTGTAAATCCATAAAGAAGTCTTTCTTTGTTTCTTGATTTTGCAGCACTGTCCCTGAAGGCCTTATACAATCACATGATAGTGATTGAAGGGATGGTGACCTTTGCACAGAAAAAACTGCAAAAAAAAGAAGAAGGAGGAGGAAAAAAGACCTCGGCATATGACATACTGTACGTTGGCTAATCTGACTCAGACATCTGGTAGAAATAGACAGATAGTGTAAATGCAATAATAGCCGGAAGACATGATTCCACCAGTACATAAATAATCCATGGAATCTTTTGAAGTATGAAAAATCACTTGATAGTGTTTTCTGGTTAAGTAGTTCCTGATGTTTTTGGCTTGTGATCTTTTCAAATGAAGCAATTTGAACTTACCTCATCAGAGTTTGCAAATGTCAGTGGGTTACCGCCAGTTCAAAGGAAAAGTACTTCTCCCTTCTCCGACTCTTACATTTGAATCGTTTTTTAGAAGATTTAAAGAAACACTGGATCACAGTCTGGAAAATAACCCTAATTTTGCTGCGAAGATGAATTGGTTCATCTATTCAGTTTCAGTTGATCGACAAAAGCAGCTATTTTGATAATCAACTGATAATCAAATAATCGTCAAAAATGTCAAAACAAAAATGTCAAATATTTGCTGTATGTAACTTCTCAAATATGAGTACTTGATGCTCTTCTTTGTCACAAATGATAGTAAACTGAATATCTTTGGTTTTGGCCTGTTGGTCAGAAAATACAAGACATTTAAAGGTGTCACCGTGGTCTGTGGGAAATTACAGATATTTTTAAATTAAAAGAATTAAAAATACAACCATGACATGGGATGACACATAAAAACTATCGATTTTTTATTTTTGACTGTCCTAACTACAGATATTTTAATTCAACCAATTCATGCTCCTGTATATTTGTTTTTTTTTTTATCTTTCTTTTTCAATTTTATATTATATATGCCTTACCAGCTCAGAGTCTCTCTGTTGATCTCCTGACTGTCCACAGAGACGGAAAAGACCTGACAAGCTGCAGCATCCACCTGAGTGTTTGGCACTGACAGCACTTGATTATTTTGAGAAATCTCCCCTGATGGTTCGGTTACAATAATGTCAACAGTGGCCTTGGAGCCTGCTTCTTCCTTATCATCATGAGAAGTGCTCACTAAAATGTGCTCTGTTGTTGTGGTTGTCTCGGTACAGGAAGCCTTTACAGGGCAGACTGACTCGGCTGTTTGTGAGATGCCATCTGGGATTTTGTCCTGTGCAGAGAGTGGATTTTCTTCTCCTAGCGCCACATTTGTTTGTGTAAAAACCTCCCATTCAGCTGCAGCACAGGTGTTCTGCTGGGATTGTAAAGTGCATTGCAGAGGTTCAGCTTGTCCAGTGTTGTCTGGAGGTTCCTTCATCTCTTCATCTTGTTCTCTGGTGGAGTTTTCTTTAAGTCCAAACCCTTTGCAGTCAGAAGGCGTTGCGGTTTGAATGCTCTCCTTCTTCAAGGGTCCATTCTCCTGAGTGTTATTGGGCTCGGACTCTCCATTCTCAGGACTCTGCTCCACCTGAACAGCCTCAGCCTTTTCCTCCACCTTTATATTGTCCGCATCAGGTGTTTTCCTGAGTAGCATAACACAGAGGAGGATAAGCAATGTGAGATAATACAACAAAACACCCAGTAAAAGTAAGTAATGAGTAAAAGCCCTTTTCATAAACAGAAAGCCTGAGTAGATATGTGACCACAGATAAAATTTTCCAGCAAAATGTTTCAAGATTCTTTGTATATTGTACGTGGGAGGGGGGGGGAAGTGAGAGACCCATAATTAAAATAGTCATCTGTTTCTCTACATACCAACCACTAGAGCGTGAAATACCAAAAAAAATCTGTCTCATCCTGAAACCCTTTAACACCTCTGGAAGTCCCCTACTCCCATTAAGGACCTCAGCGCTCTGTATGTTACTCTTTGATTTGGTCACAAAACAACCCACACAAAACCTAGGGGGAAATCTAAATGTTATTATAATACTTGTTACAGTTTTGAAGGTCGTTTTTGTCATCTCATATTTTTCTACATTCTGCCCACAAAGATGAAATGTTTACCATACTCAGAATTTATGTTTGAATCCGTTATCTCCACAAACAGAGATATTTTTTGTTCTGTTCTGTTGGTTTAGTAATATCAGTCTGAGAAACACAAACCCACTGGGGAAAATTGAGATTGTGTGCCATAAAATCACCAGTTTAATCTTTTATCAAGTCACACAGGAAGTTCAGGTCAACTTACTGGACTCTCAACCACTGAGTTGGATTTTTCACATGGTAACACTATGTAACTGAACCACACAGTAAAACAAGGATGGTTGAGGGAGAAAAAAAGGAGGCTAAATGTCTCAGAAGGCCAAAAAAAGGAAAAGGTTATCTCACCTCATGCTATCATCTCCGTCAGGACCACAAGTACCATCCACTACTGTTACACCTGTGGGCACCGTGGCCTTCGAATCATCTTCCAGTAAACCACTTCTTTCCTCCGCACTGCCACAGGGACTCTTAGCGGGACAACAGCAGTTCCCCATCTGCTCCCTCTTGTTCAGGAAGTCAGACAGGTTGTAGGCTGAACGGTGACCTCTGGTCCAAAATGACCGCAAGCGACCTGATGAGTCGCTGAAGCCTGAAGATTTCAGGAGTCCATGATGAAGATGGTCAAGCTGCTGCTAAAGCCAGGAAGCAACCATGTTTACATGTGGTAATAAGGTTGATACCTTAAAGCAAAACAAGCAACATTAATACATGAAAGATTAAAACGCTTAGTGTGTGATGCCACTGGTGTTACAGCATATTCTGAGACTCGGTTAAGAAGTTTTTTCATTATTTATTAACCTAAAGATTATTTTCTCGATTAATCAATTAGTGGTTTTGTCTATAAGATGTCAGATAATAATAATGAAAAAAAAGCCCATGAGTTCCCACAACCATAAGCGACAGTCCAAAACCCAAAGACAATCATGTGCGTTAAGTTAAAGTATTAAATCCACACATTTGAGAAGCTGGAACCAGAGAGTTACCAGAAAAAATGACTGACACAAATAATCATTTATCAAAATAATTGCTGATTAATTTTCTGGATCAACTATATTACCAATTAATCAACTAATAGTTTCTGATTTAATTGCCACTGCAAATGTTTTAGATCATATTTAATGACACAATGTATTTTGGTAGGCGTTACCAAACATGGTACCTCTGTAGTGTTTCACAAATTTTGATAGTTGTGAATTAAATGTAAAAGCTGTATGAAAAATAACAAATATTGTAATTAAGTATAGGTAAAAAATTATTGCTCTAGAGACAGACCATTGCACGGCAATATGTGCTATCACAGCTATTGAATTTTGTGACTCATTCTCTGTATCTAACTATCATATTGCCACAATCTTTGGTGAAGAACCATCAAAATTTATGACATTATCTATGTGGGAACAAATTCTAATAACATTTATCCAAAAACATTATAATTATATATGATTAAAATCATTTTGCAGTGGAAACGTGGCTAAAAATCCTATTCGGGTCACAGATTTTGGTGTAAGACCAAGAAGATTTTAAGTCATGGCTACACCCCATTGTTAGTGTCAATACAACGAGGTAACAGCACATTTCACACGCACATTCACCTGTCACTGCCGTACTAACATCTTGTTATGTCCAAAACATACCTCGGTTGAGTTTTATTGGAGCCGTCCTCCACGAGCTTGCACTCATGTAGCTCCTCTTCCTGTTTCACTTTTGGTTAGCTGGAAAACAAGCTGAAGTTAGCTAGCCAGCTAGCTGCGGTAAACTTAAAACACAAACATGCGCTGCTAAAGAGTGACCGCCGTTCATGAGAAACACCGCTACCACAGTGGTTACCTTTTCTTGTGACTACACAATCATCGTTTAATGCGGCACATTTCATAAAAAGCGGGTATTTACTGTGTTTTCTGCGGAACATCTGTTGGTACGAACCCTTAGCATAGCCAGAGCAGCGGGGTCACAGTTTGGTCCGAGCGCATGACGTCATACTCATGTGCGCCGGGAGTTTTGGTGCCTTCTAGTGCTCCTCGGAAACCAGAATACACTTGGGTAGATTGTTTGAGATCGGTGTGTTTTTGGCGTTAATGTTGAAACAATTAGTCAATTAATCGGTTAGTCCAATGTCAAAACAGGAACTGAACTCGTAACTCAAATACTAGTCCCAACTTCATATGATGGCAAATTGAAATCTTTAGTTTTGGGGTTGGGAATATTTTTGGTACATTGTTAAAAAAAAAACAAAAAAAAATCCCAATTAGTATTATAGTAATAAATTATCAATTCTTAGTATCATGGTACCTTTCAAAAAATTTGGCACTGACCTTAGGTCTATGTGTGGTCTGACCACTTCTCACTCCAGTTACCTCTGTAATACCCACGACTCTGACTGTGTCTGAGACTTTTGCATCAAATCAAAAATTTGATTTGTTTCAGAAAAAAAACTGATAGCATAATATATGTGAAGCTTAACTCCTTCACTGGGTTCTCTTGTTAAACTCTGCCAAACTGGTTACAGAAAAATATTTACAAATCTACCTTATGGTTTTGTGTGATGTGTGAAAGTGAATTTAAAGAAAGACACACGCTTTGTATAAAGCCAAAACATTTCCTTGATATTAGAACAAACTAATGGAAATTCTTCATTTCTACAATCATATCTAAATAAATTAGGGGCAATAAAACATTTTTTTCATTTCATTGGGCAACAAAAAAGTGTGAGAACAGAGCTGCAGTAAAACATAGCAAATCCATTTTTATTTAAAAAAAAAAACAAGATGTAAAATCATATTTTACATTATATACATCAAAAATACTTCATTGCAATGTGTAAGAAATTTACACTTGTAATCTGTTTTGTTTCATAGTTTATGTGCCCATTCAAGTATTGTCATCCTTTGAACCTGCTGTGATTTTGGTCCCTGATCTTAAGTCACTTCATGTTCTTCAGCTCCAGTATGTGACTGATCAGCTCCTGTGGCAGTCCGAGCTCTGACACTACATCCACGGTGTGTTGGAGGAGGAGGGTAAGACCTTCACCTGAGATGGACGAGCAGTCAGTGGACCCTGAACAGGGCTTTTGTGGCTGGTGAGAAACATCCAGGTCCATTTTTTCTTCTTTCCTGCAGCAGCCTGTCTTTTCACATCCCCCTCCACAACAGCCCTGATCTGCCTGCTCCACCACCAGGTCCTCCATGCTCTCGGAGACGTCGCTCACACTGGGAGGAGGATTCTCAAAAGCCTTCCTGATGCCGTCTGTCATTTTGTCTTCATACTGTGAAACCTGTAGCAGGAGCTCAGTCACACTGGCTGGGACAGGCTTTTCCGGATGCCCGATCTGGCACCAGCACCATACAGCACTGTGATGAGACACACAAAGAGGCAACAGTGTCAGATACAATGGCACAGAGAAGTGACTGGGACTGGCATCTGCTGGACAGAAAAGAGATTTCAATAACGGTCAGTACAAAAGAGACTCATGATGTTTCCGTGCAAGAAAGAGGCTGAAATCATTACGGGGGAATATCATACACAGAAATCCTTTTTAAAGAGTTGAAAAAACATGGAGAGGCTGAGCAGAAACACCTAAATCACCTGATATCTTTGCCCAAATATATATTTAAAGAAAAAAAATAGCCACAGCAACATACTTTCAGTCTCTGTCTTGTTAACAGTTTGAAAACCGTAACAATTTTTAAACTCAGTTATAGAGAAAAAATACCTTCCATGTAGGATCATTTCAATATGGGTAAGGTTTCTGCTCAGAAAAGAGAAAATTAAAAACTAATTTTCTGCCTCTAGTTCTTAGCACAGGTTTCATTTAAAAAATTTTTTATCAAAAAACATGTGACCTTATTGGTACTGTGATATGAGATCTAGTTTCGGATTTAGCTTATTGAAATATAGTGATGCTGCTTAAGTTTTCTTATCTGGGTCTTCACAGTGAAGCGTCACCACACTGCTAGTCATTACTTATTCTTATTCTGATTTCCTTGTGTTCCTAATGGAGTGTTTCTAAATAACCAAATACCATTTTTCAATATAAATAGTTATGAGAAGAAGAAGAAAAAAAAAGAAATCACACGATAAGATATCTGATGTTTATGATCATTTGTGTCCTATTTAAAGACCCCTTATCTTGGGGCTCCTGGGAACCACTGACACAAACCAGTCTGTATCAAACATAAAGATCCAATGAGTTTTTTTTTTAATTTTGATATGCATCAAATCTCTTATATATCATATTAATTTTATTTTTTAAGGTTTGTGTAGTTCTCTATGTATCCACCTGACTTGCACAAATGTATTGTAAGTTATATTACCACCACGGTACAATGTATATTCAGCTCAAAGTATAGCTATGAGTCTATCATTAGCCTCTTTTATACAATTATTTATTTTCATAAATGTATTGTGTCTATTTTAAGTACACATATCCATCATTTGCCAGCAAAAATGACAAACATTTGGTGCTCCCAGCTTCTAATCTTTGTCTAGTGACAGTAAACTGAGTGTCTTTCAGGTATCTGTTGGTAAGACGTCACAGGTTAGAGTAACTCTGGGGGTCTGGGAAACTGTTAGTAGCAGCTCTGATCAATTGATGACTGATCAAGGTGATCACTAATATGACTGTTTACCTTACGATTCCTTTAAGGCGACCCACAGCCACAGTCTGAGCAGCTCCTTCCCTGAAGCCCAGGTTGAACCCGACCTGAAGTGCGGCCTCCTCCCCGGCATCAATCCCGTCTACAAAACCGTCCTGTCCGTGACAGCCACGCCATCAGTTATCAGAGAAAGGACTCACAATATCACTCTAAACACAACTCTGTCAATGTCATTATTTTGATGAGACCACATACTGAGAGTAACAGCTGCTATTTAACCACTGAGTTTAGTATTTAGAGTAAATGAGAGCAGGTAGAAGAGGTCGGCTACAGCCGCTTTACCCTGACTCGCTTCTTCATGTTGGAGATCCACTCTTTCCTCTGAAGACTGAGGTCGTCCCCACTCTCGTCGAAGACATCGTCGCCACTGTACGACACGGCTTTGAACCAAGACATCTTTAGTTCAAAACTAAAAACCTGTTTTAAAGACGACTATTAGTGTTTTTGTGGCATGTGTACGACCGACCATGAGACTACTCAGCTGCCTCAACAGCAACAGCAACAGCTAGCTAACTGTATATCATCATCCTCCGCCTTAAAGGGACAGTCCACCTTTAAACGAAATAATATATTATTGTCATTGTCATCCTCATTATTTTGACTCTATATTTCTAGTCATTTATATGTTCGAATTAAATTATATTCCTAAAAAAAAACTGAATGTAGTCTTAGCTTTTTTTTATTCTTCACATTTCCGTCAGGAGATTACAGATAACAGTTACACTTTTCTTTAAACTGGACCAGTGAAAGTTGTTAAATGTGCTTTTAGAGACTCCTTTCTTCACCTTAATGCTCCTTAACCAAAAAGTCTGGTTTTACATCCACATCTGGATCTCTTTAACTCTTTAACGCTTGATCACATTAATTTGAATATTATCCAACTCAGGTAGAAACACATCTCACCGCCAAAATGTAATTTTAATTGTAGATAAATACTATACCCATTGTTGAAAAGGGAGGAGTCCATGTCCCTCAGTCTCTTTTAAAATTAATTAATGACTTATTCCAGCACCTGCTTATTTATAAGTGCCCACTCTATTAATCAATTTAAATATGTAAGTATGTATGTAAGTTTTTTGTGTTATTATTTCAAAAGCTGTCGATTGTGCAAAAGTGCAAAACAAAAAAAAGATTATTTTGTTTTGGGATGTACTTCTCCTTTAACGCACACTACTTCTGTGGCGTTGTCTGAAATGAGAGGCTGAAAGCTGTGGTGCGTACTGCCATCTAGCGACATGACGCAACAAATAGTAATAATAATGATAGTAGTAATTTTTTAACCCTGGAGGGGGCGCTAAAACCTCACTGTAAAACTGACTGTGGTTCACAAAGGCTCACTGCAAGACTCATAACCATCAAACATCCACATGCATCAGAGCTCAACTTTACACACGATCAACTCCCTTCACATACAGCCTAATAATTTTATCACTCATCATCATCATCGTCATCATCATCATCCTCATCATCATCCTCATCATAATCATCACACTCTTTCTCTGATGCCTCTCTGTAGTAAGTCTGATTTTTTGTTTCGTGTGTTTTGCTTCTGTCTTAAAGTCTATTTTCAGCCTCCTGATAAAAACTGTGATTGATTTTCATAAAACAGACTCATGAACAGCAACAAGGCAACACAGCAGTTTCTAACATTAACACAAACTAAAGTCATGAAGCAGAGAAAAGGAAGGTTAATGAGGTTTTAGATGAATCATGATAAATAAAGTGTTTCATTACTGTACAGTGAAATCTATCTTATCTGCATATTTGATGATTTTTAGGTTTCCAGATAAATTGAAAGATCCAACATGGGTTCAGACAATTAAGCTAAAAAGAAAAAAAAAACTCTTAAAAAATATATTAATATAATATATAATATAAAAATCTTATTTTATGAAAAGATGATTACTAAAGGTTCCTAAAGCATTTAAAAACAGTGTAAAATAAAATGTCACATGGGTGTGGCATGTGTATTTTTACATTTATTTGATCAATGTAACTTATTAATACTAGGTAACTGATTTGCATTTAGTTAAAACAAATCAAATCAAAAATTAATTTCTGCCTCAGCTCTTGGTTGTTGATCTTTTAATGATTGAGGTTTCTGTTGATGTGGAATTAAACAAAACAACACAAATAATGAAAAATACACAACAATGTTATTATGCATATGCATTATGAAGACACATCCATGTTTTAGACAACAAATAAAAAGACTTTTCAGTAAGAAAAAATGATCCAGGCAAAGATAAAAATGCATAAGGACTGAAATCTTGTAATTTAACATTACAGACAAATAAATAAATCCAACATGTTTCAGTCAGAAACAGGTTCACGTGTCAGAAATCATGTCCTGTGTTGTTTTTTTTGTTTTTTTTAATCAAACACTTTTCAAATTCATACAAATGTTTAGTGCAGCCTGAACGCTCCGGCTGTTCAAATCACTGTCCAGTGCATCTGTACAGCTTCCTGTTTAAGTTTTCAAACAAGAAAATGTCATCTGTCATGACAAACACATTATTGACTCATCAATAATGCATCTCACCTCCTTTTTTCTCACTGAGAGGGGAAAAAAAAAATCCTCCTTGTTTTATTGTCAGATTTTCTCATTCTTCATGCCATGCTTTATGGAAAACACAGGAGAGGCCGGACGGCGGGCAAATGCATTTCACCTTGGTGGAATGCATTTGCAGCCGCTGGACAACAATGGCCTTGAGAATACCCAGAGGCCACGGTGGAGTTGTCTCTGTTCTGGAAATGGAGTCGGCCTGGAGGCCTCATTCACGGCAGCCACACCTTCAGTCCCCTCGCTCAAAGAGTCGAAACAACCAGCCGGGGCAATCACCTGACACATTTCCATCCAATTTCCACTGCAGAATGTGTTCATTTTCAGGCTAATGGCATGTCATTTTGCTGGAGCCTTTGGTCAAGAATTAATCCTGGAATCAAAACAGATTTTCCGGGGAGCAATCTTCCATCAAGTATTGATTTTTTTACACTCACGGAGCCTGTACTCCCTAATTTAACCTGACAGCCAGCAGCACAATGGACTGGGAGCACCTTGGCATCTCACAGAGGGAGCTCTCCTCCTCCTCCTTCTCTCCATGAAGTGAAAGAGAGATTGGGAAGGAAAAAAAGGACTCCCAGATGTATAAAACAAAGATCATTGCTTACAGAAAACACAGAGATAAAGCTTCCGTCTCTCTGTTTTACCTCTAATTATGTTTTCTAGTGTAGTGCAACTTGGGCAGGTAAGGCTGAGAGGGAAAAGGGCAGAGTGTTCTGGGGCCATCAGCTATCATTATGGGCCTGTTGACATCTCCCTGTCTTTGAGTGATTCTCATCTGTGATTTCCCCCTGGCCATTTTCCACAGATGCACGAAGAGGGGTTTCATCATGGCCCCGCAAAAAAGGCCCAAAGTGTCCGTACAGACCCTCACTAATAAGAAAGCAAAGATGTGTCCGACCATGTCACTCCTCTGCCATCCATATCTACTCTCTTGATGCCTTCAGATATGCAATCATTCTCTCTTCTCCCCCCTTCTTCTTTCTCTCCATCTCTCTGTATGTGCTGTAAGTATACTATCCTGTACGTAGAGGTCAGCGGGATGAGAGGATGATAGAGGGCAGGGCCAGTTATTTTCCTCTGGCTCTTAAAGCTGTGATGACCCATGTGCAAGAGAGTTGCACTTTGCCAAAGGGATTTCCGAGCACTGCTTACAAACTACCTGACGGGGGAAATCAGCTGCTTTTAACTCATAATCATGTACTTCAGGAGGAGGTGTGATCTGGTCATATTTTAGATATGAAGAACTACATTTCTGCAACATGTTTTACTATACATTAGCAGAGCTGTAGCCATATGGATTATGCAACAATGGGCCCCGTGTGCACCCCCACCAACCCCCCACCAACCCCTGCATCATGTGCGGTCACTTTGCATTTTTTTCCCATAGCATTTTGAGGTTTAACCTTGACTCTGTTTTGGCAGATTCAACCCCACATTGTTATTTGGTACAATGTTAATATAAAAATAATGATGATAGCTGCTTTAGCGTTTAGATCCTCTACACAGATGTCAAACAAAACACAGATACAAAATATTTTAGGACAGGACCATTTGAAAAACTGTGGCGCATGCAGGTTCTGTTGTAACTAAATACTAAATACAGCAGCTATAGTTACTGTTACTTCACAAATTAAGATTTAACAAAGAAAATATATGATGAGTTTATGAAATGAAATATATTGTTATAGATGAAACTATCCAACCGTATATAAAACAGTTCAAACTCCACTTTGACCAAATACAAGAGCAACAGCCTATTGAGAACTTTTACTTTTGATACTTTGCTGATAATACTTTTAAATACTTTTCCTTGTGATTTAAATATTTACATTACACTTTTTCTCACTTAAAGGATTTGAATGTCAGATTAGATACACCCTTCCTCCATCACTGTTTTAATGTGAGCTTCAGTATGCACTGTGCTGCTGGATTAGAGGAAAATGAACCAAAATTCAATAAAGAAAATATCAATATAAATATCAGCCTTGATATTGTCAGATATTAAATGATTAAGATGCAAGAAAGATCTTGACTTCCTCACTTCAGACTGAGCCCATGATTTGACGACTAGCATCAGTGACCAGATTCCAGACTTCATACATTTTACAGCTGCCGACTTTTGGGCTGAATAAATAATTTGGCGTTTCCCTAACAGAAAAATAAACCGGGCAAAGACGGCAAAGCAGGCGACTGGCCCAGGGGCCCGGACCCTAAATGGCCCCAAGAGCTCCGTATTCATAGTGTGTCAGTTTGTTTGCAATAATTTGATTAAGAGCAAATATGTTAAATATGTTAATCGAGAAATACAGTTTGCGAAAACTTTTAACTGACTAAATAAAATATGAAAAATAAAAAAAATGTGAGATTATTTTTTGATGTCTTTGATGTCAGAATTTTTGGGGGCCTGGGTATTTGCATTGGGGGGCATGGATTCATCCCCTCACTCTAAAATCCTGGCTATGGTCCTGCAAAGTTTATGGTAAGGGACTGTACAAAAAATGATCGGGGTGGGGAGGGGGACTGAACCTCATGTTTCGGCAAAATGCACCTTTATGACTTCATGACAAATAACATCTTTTTGACTTAATTATTTGATCTTTTCAAAAATAATTTCTTACAAGCGTAAAATGAAATAAACTGTAAATCCAGAATTATGTTAAGTCAAAGGTAAAAGTTCGGAGGCCTTACCCTCCCAAAAAGTCAGACTGCCCTTCTTTCAGCAAAAAGCAAAAAGAAACATAACTTTCCCTCTTTTCTGATCCTCCACATCTTCCACTAATAACTTTCACACAGTCCCTAAACAGAGAATTCAGAGGCTCAAAGAAATGCTGTAGTTTATGTTTATGTTTTGTTTCCCAAAATTATTTGAAACTCATAACACCCACTTTCCCATATTGACTGCTGGCATCAAAGTTAGGCAAAAGAAAAGTAAGTCAG